TCCTGCTGTTGGCTTAGAAAAGTAGTTGTCTGCTCCTGCCAGAGATATCCGGTACATTCAACTCCTCTGTTCCTCCTTCAACCCAAGTTAAACAATCCATTACTGACCCTAGATGAGTTCCTTAGTCTGTAATGACCAGGTTAGAAGAATTAAGGACGAAATCCTTTTTGTAGTATGTTTTCAGTAATTAGGGCTGGAATCGTGGCTAGCAAAAACGTTTTGAATAGGCCTATGTAGAGATGAAATAAGGAGTACAACAATTAATTTTAGATGACCAAAGAATCCTTGTTCTTTCATTTCACTGGTAGGACACTGTACCGCTGAATAGCCATCCAGACTGTTTGGGAGAGGGCCGTGCACTTCTAGGGCAGGTAGGAAGAAGACGACTGATAGCTCACCTACTGCATGGAAAACACATTGGTGCTGGCTGTGAGACAAGCAAGCAACGTTTTCAATAAAGTGTCAATCTATCAGTAGTACATAAATGGATATTGAACATACGGAATATATGTCCTAGCAACCTGTTAAATGCACGTTATGGTCTTTCTTCATTTTGCCTCTTGAGTTTGAAGTTGTAGGTGCATGAGCACCCTTTATTCTTCTTACTCTTATGGATCTGGTCTTGGGGTGTTATTCAGCAAGACAGTAAATCTGGTTTGGGGGCACATCGCTCATGCTGCTTATTCTAATGTGCCCAAATAAGTGGGAGAGGTCCTAGCAGACTTCATGCTAGATCAGGCACCGTATCTCTTCTTGCAGTCCTGAAAGCATAAACTCCGAAATGTATGTTCTGGTTAATTCAGCAGAACGAGAGTTGTGTGTCCGTGACTGATCTGAATCAAATTTGCGCCACTTGGTGATCTGAGTACAGGGGTGACTGTGAAATGATCTCTGTGTTGACAGATGCACCTTCTTGGTGGCAGCATGGAGTCTGCAAGCCAGCAGTCTTTGAGCCTTTTCCTTTTCTTTTTCCTTTTCTGCACAGAGCATAACGTGTCACAGCGATGCAGAGGTCCTTGTAATGTCTTCAAGGGAAGCGCTGCTGAAACGTGTTCTTCTGTTTTCTGTAACCGTTGTATTCTGATGATCTAACATTGAAAGTACAGGCTCCTTCGGTGCTGGAACCCTGGGCTGGCAGAAATATGAGGGACAAATGAGGAGCATGCGGAGTTCAAAGGGCTCCAGCTAAGTGTGGGTATCAGGTCATGAGTTGCTATAAGTGGTCGGTTTTGCACTAACAACTAGGCAACATCAATCTTAAGTCTTGAGGCTGCTCTGTGGAGGAGGTGGTGGGCACGCAGTTCCGCTTGGGACTGCACGTTCGGTGCTTAGAGGTTTCCGAATAACTGATTTCTATTGATCTATCTATATGATTCCCTTACCTCACAAAATTGTATGTCATAACCACTTCTATGCCCACTGTAATATGGCAAGGCTGGATTTTCCTCGTGGTTGGTGGGCAGACTTGGATTTTAATTTCTGACCTTCCCTATGTTCTTCGCTCCTCTATCAGTGGGAGGGACTAGATATTTCTGATCTTACTTCTGACTACATTCAAATCCAACCAAGCAATCAGTGACTTCTCTGACTTTTTTTGTATACGGCTGTGGGAAAATTCCTGGTTGGCTGGCTATGAATTAATGAAAATCCTTAGAATGCTTCACTAATGATAGCTCCTGTGGCTTTAAAAATGCTATTCCCTTTTTTAATTTGAGGGAGGTCACAGAGGTTTACAGAAACTAAGAAAAGAAAACTTAACATCTGGTTGTGCTCTGTTGATGACTGCTTTTGTGTGAAGAAAAGTTATGGCGTCTCCTCAGCATCAAACACATTCAAGGTGATCCTTTCTAAGAACTCTTTGCAAGAATACTTTTCACTCAAACTGTGTTTTCTAATTAATTTTGCTTTGTATTTTCAAATGGAGGGTTTTAGTCCTCCATGGGAATCCCAAACTCATAATATTGTCACTTAAAATACACCCTGCCTTTATAAAATAAACTTATTTTCTCGAGTTTTGTATTTATAACATAAAAATATTTATGTATGTTTCTAATACTTTCCTTTAAAGTTGTAGAACTCCAAGATTAAAACACACTGTTGGGTTGGATTCTGGGATTCCTGAAAGGAAATTTTTTTTGTGTTTGCGTATCGCGTATCCATAGTGAAGTTCAGTTTCGTCTATTTGCAAAGAATAATCTGATTTGTATAAAAACTCCCCTTTTTATAATTTCAATTTTACAGGCTAAAAGAGAATAATTTTATTTTTTTTTAATAATGCAGGTTAAAATTATGTGTGAATTTAGTTTAGCTAGTAGGAAGGCATAACGTGAGAATGTTTAGGTCCAAACACTGAATCTTCTAAATCGTTAAAACTAAAGCTATCAGCTGCTCAGTTAAACATATGTATTCCAGGTGTGACTGGCCTGGAATCAGAAAGCATTAAAAATACAACTTTAGAGACTTTTAATAGTCACGCTATCTTTTTATTTTATACAATGATTTAAACAAAATATATGCAGGCCTCTCTCTGTCATCTGCTTGTGGAAACAACACCCCAATCTGTTTTCCTTTTAAACATAGAATACTAAGGGTTTTGTTTCTGTTGCTTGTTGGGTTTTTTGTTTTGTTTAAACAGCTGACATCGTACCCGTTAAAATCAGTGGCAAAATGCTGACTTCCGTTTCGATGGGATTTTGTCTTCTCTACCCGAAGCGGGTTGATGCTTTGTGATCGCCCAGCCCTGGAGAGCTGCGACTGACTCCCGTGCGAAAGCCGGGTGCTTTGCACACCTGGAAAGCAAGCCGCTTACCTGGCTGCTGCTTTGCGCATACGGGAACGTTACTGCCCGCTGAACCAGGGTGCAAGTTCAGACCGCGTTCGCTCCGCAGCCGTGGGGCGTTCCTGGGCGCCTCGCCTCAGCGCGGGGCGGTGCACCGACAGCCGGAGCAGCTCGGAGCCAGGGACCCGCGCGGCAGGAGCAGGACAGCGGTGTTAGCAGGGCGTCCTGCTCGTGTTCGCGGCGGACCCAAAGCAGAGTGGCATGCTAGCATGGCAGTTTCTGATGCTTAGGCTTTCTTGATAACAGCTATCTTCAACCTCAGTGTTGCAGGAGTGTGTCCTGGCACCACCCACATAGCGTGTTGTCATAGCGTAGGTAGTGCACTGTAAAGTTACACCTTAGTTTATCACATAGGAATAACTTCCTTTACAAACAGGCCCTTAGGGATAGTTGGTTTTTTGTTTGTTTTTTGGTTTGTTTTTTTTTTAATGTGCCAGAGTGACTTTGGGTACAGCTGCCCAGGCAAGGAAGAATTCCATCTCTTTCCCCTGTCTGAGCTGCTCAGGTGCCAGTCTGTATCTCGTCTCAAAGCCCTCGTAAAGCCTGCGTGCGCTGCTTCCTCTTCCTCCAGTTTCTGTGGGGATCAGTGTTATCTCCCTGTCTGGGCTTGCCCCTAATTACAGGCAGTAGCAACAAAAAGAGGATGGAAGTTGGAACCGGTAAGTTGGGCAATTTACTCTGCGCATAAAGACTGCTCTGTCTGGATGAGCTTTAAATACAGCGTGGGAAGGGCGCGTTGCTGAATCACAAGCATTTTTAGCAAAGTTTTCAAGGTTGTGCTGGGCTTCCCCTTCAAGGCTTAGAGATATGGGGTATAAATGGGTGATTTAGGCTTCACCCTGTAAGTGTGAGCAGATCCTTAGAAGCTTGGAGTGGGATTCTGAAAAAGAATGGAGTGCCCTAACTCCTATTAACTTTCAATGGGATTTGTTCTCTTTTGTGGCCTGGGGTGTAGTTACATCTCCTATTGACTCAGCAGCGAGGCTGGTTAGTGGAATTTTCACTCCCATCTGCTTCCTCCCATGCTGGTGTTGCTGCTTGCCCTTCCCTCCCCACCTGTTTTAATGCACCTGTTTGTGAGCTGCATTGTAAATCACGTTATTAAAACAGTCTGAATTGAAAGTGTCCCTCGTTGGGTTTTTTTTGGTTTTGTGTGTTTGTTTTTTTTTTTTCTCCTTTCACAGCTGGGGTCATTTCAATGACGTGCATAAAATGAGGTCCCCATGCAGTTATGTGAAGTATATGTTCAGAAGTGGTGAACTATGGGATGAAGGAAGAGCCAAGGACTGGACAGGGGAGTCCGGAAATCCCTAAGCTAATTTTGTGATTAAGTCAACGTTCCGTGTAACTATTCAGGTACTTTTAAAATTCTCACCCTTGAGGTGTGCTAATTTAGATACTTTTTTTTAAAGGTATCTCATCAAAAGAGTTTGAGGGTAGTATACTGAGCATATGTGAAACTTTAAGTTATACACAATCCTTCATGTGAATGTTTTCTAAGTGGTGAATTTTTCACAAGCAAGAAGATGATAACGTTTCAGAAATCACTTCAGCGTCTGTTGAAACGCAGCCAGCTCTGCGGAGGAATAGCGAGAGCAGGGTAAGGCTGTGCAGCCCTTCCTGCCAGGGAATGAGGAGTAGCGCTTTCATTTGTAACCCGAGGGGCGACTGCACTATCCAGCCTCTCGTTCGTGAGTGGAATTCGGGCAGATTACCACTAAAATTACAGAATGACCCACTAGGTCTCATATAAATCTCTCTATTCCTTATCTTGCTCTGAAGACGGCATCTCCTATTAGTACAGTATCTATGAGTACATTTGTGTCGTTACGGAGTGCAGTTAAGCATTACTCCCCATTATAAAGAGCTTTGATTTTATTTACTGCATCAGAATTTTGTCTGAGGCCTCCTGATACTGCTTTGCAAGGCATGTGTTAACAGCCCCAAAAGAAGACAGGGCCAGATGTATAGCCTGATAACTTTTGTTATAAAATAATATCTAATGTTTTGCTTTTTCTGTTGTATCATACAAAATATTTAGCTCAGATACTTTTCAAAGAATCAGGAACATGATCTATTCCAAAATAGTTACAGCTTTGCTTTGTTTACATTTTTTCAGCAAATTATGTTGGTGGTGTTTAATAATTATCTTTACCTTAGTTTACCTTCTGACAGGACTAATAGGTTAACCACAAAAAAGTTAAAATAAAAATCAAAAAGACAAAACAAACACCTAACTCAGCCTGACTCGTAACAGGTGAAAAGTTATTTTTCCATGCTTCTTCAGAACATCAGTGGAAACAAAATCTTTATCTTTTATTCATTAGGTAGGAATAATGCGAGCTGGGATAGCTTAGGTTTCTCCATATAGTTGCATTTGTAAGAATAATTCACTAATCATGCCATTCACTTTTGGGGTTCTCTTTCAATAAGGACCACTAGCCGTGAAATGTCATGCAGAGGTTTGAAAATGGGACATTCAGCTCCCTAAAGAATGAGCTGCAAGGACAGAAGTTTCTTTTTATTTCATTCTGGCAGTAAATGTAGGAATCAAAGCCACAAAATAAGTGATAGAATAGTGCCTGGTATCATCTAACAATGCTGATGGATATGGATGACTATTGTTCCGTGTAGCCACGTTACGTTTGGTATATACGTTTTAGTTATTGTTTATTATATTCCATTCAACCGCAGAAGTTAGCAATATGTAAACTCCAGTAGTCTGTTTGCGTGCTTGTATGTGGAAAGTTGATTTGTAGTTATAGGTGTGATTTCCCCCTCTCCCCCCAGTATGGTTAGGTTTTGTTGCAACAGAGAAAATAATTGTTTCCGTGTTTATATTTTACAGTCACATCCAAGTGGTATCCCTGTTGTAAGTTGTCATTTATATTGGAAGTGAAGCTTGCTGGTCTTTGGATCTACTTCTCAATTTACTACAATAATGTAATTTTATTTTAACAGAGGTGAAGGTTTAAACTGAAAGGGTTTTATATTCTGTATTGTATTTATCTTCCTGTTCAATGTTTTAGGATTAGCTGTTTATATACTCAGTTTAGCTTTGATAAAAGGAAATCAAGTAAAAGTTTGAGAGAAATAGAGGTTCAATTTAACTTTTTAATCTGTGTATTTAAATGCTTAAGCTCTTAAAACTTACGTTGCAGTTCTGGCTTCTTAAATAGGATGACTGCCAGAAGGAAATTTGTCCATGGAATTGACTTTCTGTATAGAGACTTTTTTGTTAGAAGTAATTGTTTCCTACAGAAAAAGATCAGTTAGTCTGCATGGCTTTTCAAAAATAAGAGGTTAAAAAATTATTGGAAATGCTTTTTCAAGTATTTTTCAATTCAAAAGAATTTTTTTCATAATTTGATCAAAGTCGCATAACCTGTGGCTCTGTTTTTGTTACACATGCTGATGGTCTGTGGATAACATTACATTTTTTTCAGCATGAAACTGAACACTTCAAATCCCTAAAGCAGTCTCAAATTTATGGTTAATAAAAGAATTTATTGTACTGGATGTCATCTGTTATATCACTCTGGGAACAGAAACTGGCAGTGAGTGGACAGGAAATATTTCCATTTCAAATCGCTTCAATCTTATGGTCTAGGGTGAAAGTGTCTGATTTCAGAAAAGTCACTGTGACTATCGAGGTAGTAGAAGTATTTTATTCAAGAAGAGCATAATCTTTTTCAAATATTTCTTTTTGCTTTGTAGTATTTTATGTAAAGATACTACTCATATTATTAATGTCTCATACTCTCTGTATTTCAGTATTGATCCCTTAGCCTTTTCAAGGCAGAAGGAATAGTAGTAACGTATTTTCAGGTAAATATCTATACATGCCAAGTCAACAGCAATTTCATGAGTTGCTGTGCAGTGGCCAGACGGCTTCAAGGTCTCAGACCTTTGTATTTGTAATTGGTTGGTTGTTTCAAGAGTGTGAACTCCTATGTGATGATTAGGTTCTTCCAGCTTTATGGATTTCTTCAAGTTGTCTCCTTTTCAAATGTGTTATAAAGTGTGAGATCCATGGATCGTAGCTTTATTAATGGGAACTTCAAGCAGTCAGAGTGACGTTTCTGTGTATTTTTCATGTGTTAAGTAGTATCTGAACAGCTCTACATTTTAAATTATTTAAAGCATTTCAAATTAGTATACATTTTAAATGGATATGCTTGTCAAGGGGACATTATAACCAGGGGGAAAAAAGTTTTACATTTTTATCTTCAGCATGTATTAACATCCTGAAATACTCAATTTTCCATTTTCACACTGTTGTGCATTAATATGTGGTTATAAAAGTTTGGAACCAAATGTGTATTTCCTTCTTTAAAAGGTATGTAGCAGAGGCAGAAGTGTTCATTTTTTGACAGATGCTGTATGAGACTGATTAAAATTCATTTATTGAAAGATGGGTGTCAGTTTAACTTTTTCACTGCAAACCAGCTTCTCTGGCGTTATTTTGAGAAAATTATGTGAGAAGAGCATATGAGAAGAAAACAGTACCATGTAGTGGCCATGTGAACACTAAATCCGATGGATAATTTTCATCTGAGTCCTTTCTCTTTCAACTAATTAATTATATTTTATTTTATGCTTTGCCTGAGTTAGAGGTGGAAGGACAAAGGAATTCATGGTAGTGTTCAAAAGGAAATAGTAAAAGTCTAGTATGATTGCTTTCCTTCTGGGAGTGTGTGTACCTTGATGTGACATGGGTGTTTTTGTAAATAAATAAATCAGTTCTGAAGCTTTTTATTCATTGTTTTACAGAACATGGGTAAGCAGTGAATTTGGTGTCTCTCATGCCTTGGAGGATCTGGGCTGGAATAATGAAGATCATCAGATTAGACAGCGATTAAATAGGGTTCAGATCATACTTGCTGTATTTGCTTGATTGGTTTTTGTCCAATCATGCTAAAACTGTTACACAAAGCTAACTCTTTACTTAAAAGTCAAGAGAAAAGTTAATATACCCTGTCACTAAAATCAGAGCGGATGATTATTTTACCTGACTTGACTCCCCCTTTCTGCTAGATCGTAATTCAGTGTCTTGAACATCACCTTGTGGAAAGCTCAGCATATTGCCGCTATAAATGTGACCTTTGTTCATCCTTAAATGTTTCATATATTAACTTTGTAAGTTGTTTTTTTTTTTTTCTTAAACCTCAGTAGATTATCATTTAGGTTTCAAATCGTTCGTGTCAAATTTGTATCAGCACTTATTACCAGTTACCCTGATTGTACTATTATAATAACTTAACCTCACACCTTATTACTAATCAAAACAACTCAAGCAAATAATCCACAAATTATAATGTGGAAAACTGTGCGTCTGTTTTCTTTTATAGTCAAGCCTTAGCTTCTGTATATCAGCTCTGCATCACGTAAATTATTTGGGTGTATGGGATTCTTTCTGTTTTGCATTCCTGCAGAGCTGAAAACCAAACCTTAATAGGGTCAAGATTTATTATTTTACTTGGGCAGTTCGGAAAAGTTTTATTATCTGAGGTGTAGACTAAAAAAATAATTAAGTCTGTAGGTAAAAACAAAGCACTCCCCTTTTAAAGAGAGGAGAAGTTTAAACTATGGATTTCTTGTAAAACTTACTGGTTACTATGAATATCACCAAAGGACATGAACTGAAATCTGCATCTCGTTATGCTGAGTGTGTGGTGTGTATACGTACACAGCATAAATGGAAGCCCTTGCTCCGAGTGCTTTGCTAGCTGAAATTATTTCACAGACAACTGGAGGAAAGGAAATTCTCTGTTCTCCCATTTTACAGGTGAGAGGCTGAGGCACAAAAGGTATTAAATGACTTCCTCAAAGCGTCAGTATAGGGTATGGATAAAGCAGGAAAAGAATCCGTGCTTCCCGAGTCTCTGAGCAGGGAGAAATGACAAGGTGATTCTTCTGTTCAAAATACAGTGCAAAAGGTGTTTGTGTATTTTCTGTTTGTTTTTTAATGGTCAGTGCTTCATGTCTAAGGCGTTTCAGAGAGAATGACGTGAGAAGGAAAGTGAGATTGAGAATCTTTTTTTCAGTCTTAAGGCCTTAGGATTGTTACCATCTTCCTTACGTGTTTGTGCAACACCGCAGGAACATGCTGGGCCGTGGCTGGACATTATAAAATATGCCATGGTCATAATCAGTTCCAGGCTCTTGCATGCTGGCACCTAGCCTAGCTTGACCTTTTAGGTGTTACCGCCATAGAAATGCTGTGTAAGAAAATACATCTTGGCTGAATTTTTTTTTTTCACTTGAACAGCTTGTGTTCGATATAGTATTCTAAAATGATTTTTTATTTCTGGCAATTTTAGTGAGGTAGGTGACATTACAGTTTAGGATACCCTCTCTTCCAGTTCCTTTCGCTTGGAAGGGACTTAGTGTGGAATGAGTCTGGATCTTATTGGTGCTGCTTGTGTGGAAACCAGAGGAATTTCTTTAGAGCAGCACAGCAATGGTATTTTTCCTGGGGCTAAATGCACTTTGTACCATTCCTGCATCTTGTCAGAGTAGGCCGTGAGAGAGTAGACCCATATGCCAAGCCTGCATTTGTACATCAGGCGTTTGATTTTAGGGTTCCTGTTACTTTTC